TAGAGTTTGCCTCTAATAATAAACTAGATGAGCTTTTTGGCGGGTTGGCTATTATGATTGGGTTTTGATGATTTTGAATTGCATCAGAAGGAAGAAGAAAATTGCTTTGTCTTTTAGGTGAATCTGGTAAATGGCTAATGGCGTTATTATTATTATTATTATCTGAAAGTGGTGTGTTAAGATTTTTATTTCGCTCCAATTTTAATGATTTAAGATCCTTCAGAGGACCATTAAATTTGATTGCACTGCCTTTAAATTTCCCAATAACACCTTCACAATATCCCTGAATTTGTCAATTAATATTAATAAAAAATTATTTATTTAGCTAAACAATTAAATAAACAATATTTCAAAAATCCCACAAAAAACTTACAAGAAAATATTCATCTTTGATATGTTTTAAAATTGTAACCGTTTCTCCTAATTATATTATGAAAAGTTTATTTAATAAAATTTTAATTTTTTAAAAAAAATGTTATTTATCATTTTATTATTGAATTTTATTATTATTCAATTACCAGTGAAAAACATTAAATCATCCTCGGTATCTGCCAACGTATCTTGATTAGCAATGCCTTTACCGATTCCGCCTTTAATTAAAAAATTATCAAAGTTATTAAATAATTTTAATCGATTAATTGTATTAAAATTATTAAATACCTCTTTTGGCGAATTCATGTAATTTTTCCAATTTTTTAGGATCTTGTGTTATTAAATGTTTTTCACTCATTTTGTATTTAATAAAGAGTGTTGATAGTTTAAAAGGTTTATGTTAAAATTGTCAACAGATGATTTAAATTTTAATAATTTGAAGAAAGTGTATACTTGTGAGTTCATTCAAGTTAAAAAATATTTTCTAAAATATCTTTTAGACAAAAAATTACTTTTGGTATCTCAAAAATTAATTCAGATATTAAAAGAATTTAAAACTTTTATCTATTTTACTTTGACGTGTACTTGTGAGCCCAATACGGTATTTTGTGTGAAAATGTATTTTTTATACTAACTACTAATAAAAATATCTTTTCCAAAAAAGGATATTTAGCATACATGATATTAGTATTAATATTAATGGCGTCAAAAAAAATAATTTTTCGAATTCGAATTCGAAATTAAAAATCGAAATTTGAGATTAAAACTAAATTCATTTTTTGCTTGCGGCTTATTCATGTATTTAAAGATAATAATCCTAGAACCGAAATCTTTTATTTGCCAGATTCAAAGAAGTCTGGAAAGACAATTAAATGCTGTATAGCATAGGAAACGAAACATTTCCTGGAAAATATGAT